TGATTAAAATCAAGGACCTAAAACCAAGATTACTCTACCCAGTACAACTATCATTTAAAATTGAAGGAGAAATAAAAAGTTTGCCAGACAAGAAAAGGCTAAAAGAATTCATCACCACCAAACCAGTATTACATGAAATGCTAATGGACTTCTATAAGAAGAAAAAAGGAGGGGGAAAAAAAGAACATAATTATAAAGAATAAAATGGGAATAAATATGAAACTATCAATAATTACTTTAAATGTAAATGGCTTAAATTCTCCAATCAAAAGACATAGAATAGAAGAATGAGTAAGAAAGCAAGACCCATATATAAGCTATTTACAAGAGACCTGTGTCAGAACAAAAGATACACACAGACTAAAAGTAAAGGGATGGAAAAAGATATTTCATGCAAATGGAAAGGAAAAAAAAGCTGGGGTAGCAATACTTATATCTGACAAAATAGACTTTAAAACAAAGGCTATATTAAAAGACAAAGAAGGACACTACATAATGATAAAGGGAGCAATCCAAAAGGGGGATATAAACATTTATGTGCCCAACAAAGGAGTGCCAAAATATGTAAAGCAAATCTTGATGGGCATAAAAGGATTGATCAACAGTAATACGGTCATAGGGGATTTTAATACTCTAATAACATCAATGGATAGATCTCCCAGACAGAAAATAAATAAGGAAATGGTGGCCTTAAATGACACACCAGATGAGGTGGATTTAATTGATATCTTCAGAGCATTTCACCCCAAAGCAGTGAAATATACATTTTTCAGGTGCACATGGAACATTTTCTAGGATGGACCACATGTTAGTACATAAAACAAGTCAATAAATTTAAGAGACTGAAATCATATCAAATATATAAATGGGATGAAACTAGAAATCAATCACAAGAAAAAACTGAAAAACCCACAAAGACATTAATAGTAAATAATATGTTATTAAACAATGAATGAGTTAACAATGAGATCAAGGGGGGAAAAATCAAGATACTTTGACACTAATGAAAATGAGAACACAAAAGCCTAAAATCTGCGGGACACATCAAAAGAAGTCCTAAGAAGAAAATAGCAATACTGGCTTACCTCAAGAAACAAGAAAAATCTCAAATAAACAATCTAACCTTCCACCTAAAGGAATCAGAAAGAGAACAACAAAGTCCAAAGTGAGAAGGAAGGAAATAGTAAAGATCAGAGTGGAAATAAATGACATAGAGTCTAAAACAAATAAAAACAATGTAAAAGATCAATAAAACCAGAGGATGGTTCTTTGAAAAGATAAACAAGATGGATAAACCTTTAACCAGACACATCAAGAAAAACAGAGGACCCAAGTAAATAAAATGAGAAATGAGAGAGGAGAAGTAACAACTGACACCACAGAAATACACAGGATTATAAGAAAATACTATTAATTATATACCAACTAATTGGACAATCTGGAATAGATAAATTCCTTGAAACATACAATCTTGCAAGGCTGAATCAAGAAAAACTAGAAAATCTGAAGAGACAAATTACAACAAAATTGAAGCAGTAATCAAATAACTCCCAATAAAGAAAAATCCTGGATCAGATGGCTTCACAGGAGAATTTTACCAAACATTCAAAGAACTAATACCTATCCTTTTCAAACTATTCAAAAAAATTCAAGAGTAGGAAGATCCCAAGCTCCTTTTCTGAAGCAAACATTATCCCGATTCTAAAACCAGATAAAGACACTACAAAGAAAGAAAATTATAGGTCATTATCTCGGATGAACATAGATCCAAAAATCCACAAAAAAATATTAACAAATCAAATTCAACAATACATTAAAAAGGTGATATACCACGATCAGGTGAGATTTACTCCTGGCATGCAAGGTTGGCACAATATCTGCAATCATCAAGAAATCAACAAACAAGTGTTGGTGAGGATGCGGAGAAAAGGAATCCTCATGTATTGTTGATGGGATTGCAGATTGGTGTAACCACTATGAAAAACAGTGTGGAGGTTCCCAAAATAAAAAATGAAACTGCCTTATGACCCAGTGATTCCATTTCTGGGTATGTAATTGAAGAAACCCAAAACAGTAATTCGAAGGAATATGCACCCCCATGTTCATTGCAGTGTTATTTACAAGAGCCAAGATTTGGAAGCAGCCCAAGCGCCCATCAACAGATGATTGAATAAAGATGTGGTACATATACACAATGGAATATTACTTAGCCATAAAAAAAGAATAAAATCTTACCATATGCAACAGCATATATGGACCTAAGTGCAGTAAGTCAGAGAAAGACAAATACCATATAATTTTATGTATATGGTGAGGTTGAAGTTATATAGGTATTCTTATACAATGTTGGTAACACTAGAAATTAGTATGCTTTGGCCTAATAATTATATTTCTAGAAATCTACTATAGGGTAAGACATTTTAAAAAAATTAAATGTCCAATAACTGAGCATCATAAAAAATTTTTTTTGAAGAATATCAAAATGGCTGAGAAAAATGTTTACAATATAATATACATTTTAAAAAAGATAACTTACTATATATTACTGACTCCAGTTTTGTAAAATAAAAAAATCATAAGTATATGTCTATCAAAAAAGAAATAATGAAAATACATAAGCAATTGTTAACAATAGTTTTATAAATATATGGTTTATTTTTGTTTTATAATAGCCAAAGAAATGAAACATTATTTTAAAAAGATCATTCTAAGGAAAGTTTTTTAAAAAAGCACCTATCAGTTAGGAATTAAGGAAACGAATAAAGATTATACTATTCCATAAATTTGGTAGTAATAGGCATGAAGAGATAGACTATAACTTGGAAGGATAGTAACAGGGAAGTTTTGTTTTCTTTAAAGGCAGATTACAAACATGCATATGGTAAGAGGAGTAAGTAGAAAATCAAGATAAAAAAGAGATAACTTTTTGAAGATCCAGAGCAGGCAGAGAAGGTGAGAAGGAAAAGTATAGATGGGGGGTGGGGAGGCTTTTCTGAAACTGAAAGAGAAGAGAAGATGGTTCAACATAGAAATTTTAAAGAGACACAGATGTAAGGCAGAGTGTTTGATGTGGGAAAGACCTGAATGATCTTATTCAATTTGCATTCCTGTAATATATGTAGTGATGGCATGGTGGATGGCTTGTTTCAAACTAGTTCCCCAATTGTCAGAAATCACTGGGTTTAATTAATGACACTAATGTGTGTCAAATGTGAATGTGTGGAGGAAGACTAAAGGTTAAGAACTGCTGTTCTAGCACACTGTCTTTCATACAGGAGGTCAAACATTTGAACTGAATTCTTAGTGAAGTTAGAATAAAGAGACCTTTTGACAATAATGAAGGGTTTGAGTGAACAGGAATAAGAAATTTGACAAACAGTTGGGAAGACTGTTGAAGTAAAGAAGTATTAATCTACAGTAAGGCTTTATATCACACTGGTTTGATAATTTTCTCTAGTAATGTACTGCTGCCTAGGAGTAGAGAAAATACATATTAAAAATGATTCTGGCTCGGGCAGTGTGGCTCAGTGGTTGAATGTAGACCTATGAACCAGGAGGTCACAATTAGATTCCTGGTCAGGACACATGCCCAGGTTGCAGGCTGGATCTCCAGTAGGAGTGTGCAGGAGTTCGCCAATCAATGATTCTCTCTCATCATTGATGTTTCTATCTCTGTCTCCCTCTACCTTTCTCTCTGAAATCAATAAAAAAAAAAGATTCTGATTATAGAATTGATTACTGTCATATATATAAAGTCAAATATAGAACCGTTTTTAGGGTCTTAAATATGGCATTTTAAAAGTAGGTGACAGTGTGTGAGTTTGCTGGACAGAAAGGCAAGTGGAATCAGAGGTGGATGGACATATTTATTGTGGGAAAAGTAAAAGTAAAAAATTGGAGATATGAAAGTATAAAACCCCAGTTGAGTTAAAATGTGAGAGTGAGAAATGTAGATGTTAAGGAGGTTGTAAATTTTAGATCTAAGAAATACAGGTATTTGCCCAGCCGGCCTGGCTCAGTGGTTGAGCATCAACCTAGGAACCAGGAGGTCAGGGTTCGATTCCCGGTCGGGGCACATGCCCGGGTTGCAGGCTTGATCCCGTGTGGGGCGTGCAGGAGGCAGCCGATCCATGATTCTCTCTCATCATTGATGTTTCTATCTCTCTCTCCCTATCCCTTCCTCTCTGAAATCAATAAAAATATACTTTAAAAAAAGTACAATTATTCTTAATAATGATGATATCCAAAATGCCGCTTTATAAATGAATTTCTAGTTATATTGCCCAAAAGCACCTATCCAAAAATTTCATTTTTATGAATCTAGAAAGGAAAGTAGCACATATACATGGATTAACCCTATGAGAATTTCAGTTAAGTAATATTTTGTTGCTTCTAGTACTGGTTTCCCATTAAATTTTATCCAGATACACCAGGAAACTATGATATAATGGGGTTTTATGCATAAAAATCCACATTATCCAGCTTGCAACCTGGGCATTTGCCCTGACCGGGAATCGAATTGTGACCACCTGGTTCATAGTGGCAATTAACTGTATTTGGATATACCATAAGGCATATCCAAGGGCTTAAAGAGAAATCAGATTTATAGCAATAAAACCAACTACATCCATTTTCTTTATGCCATTAGTATTTTTTGTTAGGTACTATCTTGTATTCACCAGTCATTTCAATTGAGGCCTCTTAGACTAATCAAAAAGGTATATTTGCGCCGTCTAAGAATGGGAAAACAAACAAAAAAATTTATAGGTTCAATTAAATTTCTGTAATTCAAAAGATGATTCTGAAATGCATAAAAAAGGTATAAATAATTCAAATATACCTAACATCTTGATATTTTCATTTAAAAGTTTATTATTTCTAAGGTATAAAATACAGTTTCTGCTCAGAAAGTTGTAACTCAGCAATACAGTACTATTCATACAAACAGAGAAATAGCTGACAGTTGACAGTTATAAATTTGAGATTTTCCAACAACTTACCACTGTCTTGAATCCAAGTTCCTAAGTTCTCTAAGTAGTTTTTCATTTTTCTTTAGGAGATGAAAGCTCCTCCTAAACAGATAAATTTATAAACATTTTCATTACCTTTGCAGTGAGTGACATGGCAGTCCCAGAAATATTTTCTATTCTACTCATGCAATTCTTCATAGTTGACTTGCCTTATCATACTTCTAACACAAAAGAAAACAGACCTTAAAAAACAAGTAAGGCCCAAGCTGGTTTGGCTGTGAATAAGGCCTAGAGACTGAAGGGTCCCGGGTTTGATTTTGGTCAAGGGCACATGCCTGGGTTGCGGGCTTGATCCCCAGTAGGGGGCATGCAGGAGGCAGCTGATCAATGAATGATTCTCTCTTATCATTGATGTGTCTATCTCTCTCTCCCTCTCCCTTCCTCTCTTGAAATCAATGAAAAAAAATATTTTTCAAAAAAGAAACATGTGTCATTATTTCTACCCAGACCCTCATATATTTCTATCAGTGGATCATTATCTATTTCATTTTTCTTTGCAGATGCTGTGAGCTTCCCAAACTCATATCCAGAAAAAAAAAAGAAATAAAAATACTTGTAGATTCCTTCTCAAGAGTTTCATTAGGTTAGAAAGTTTTTTCCTCATGAGAAATAAAATATTCTCAACATCGAAATCATTACCAAGTAAGCATGTGTAATATAGATGGAATTTGCTTTCTTCCTTGATTTATATTGTATTTTTTACATGTAAAAATGTATGTATAAGTTTTACCAAATATGTTCTATAGGTACAAAATGCAGCAGTCTCCCCTGCCCTTTATCCTGGTTTCAGTTACCAGTGGTCAACTGAGGTACGAAAACATTAAATAGAAAATTATAGAAATAAACAATTCATAAATTTTGCATGCCATTTTGAGTAGCATGATGAAATCTCACTGTCCCGCTCCAGCTTGCCTGGGACATGAATTATCCCTTTGTCCAGTGTATCCACATTGTATACCCTACCTGTCAGTCACTTAATAGTCACTTCGGTTATCAAAGACAGAGAAACCACATTCACATAACTTTGTTTACAGTACTATTTTATTATTAGTTATTGTTAATCTCTTACTGTGCCTAAGTTAAAAATAAACTATTTAGAGGTATGTCTATATATGTATATGTGTGTGTGTATATATATATCTATATATATATATGAAAAAAATATTCCATATATATGTAATACATATGAAAAAATATTCCATATACATGTAGTTATGTAGCACTATCCCATTTTAGGCATCTACTGGGAGTCTTGGAACTTATCCACTTCAGATAAGGGGGGATTACTGTATTTACAAATTGTTTATTTTAATTTTAATATTTATTGATTTTTAGAGAGAGGAAGGGAGAAATAGGGAGGGAAGAAAGATAGAGAAATAGAGACAGAGAGAGAGACAGAGACAGACATCAATTTGTTGTTCCACTTACTTAAGCATTCATTGGTTGATTCCTGTATGTGCCCTGACTGGGGATCAAACTGTCAACCATGGTGCATGGGAACAGTGCTCTAACCAATTGACCTACCTGGCCAGGGCCTATATGTACAAATTATAATCACAAAATCAATGCTTGTTGAGGTAAAATACAGCCTCCTGACCTTTAATTTTTCTTGAGATAATATAGACCATTCTATAGCAAAAGAGTAGAATACATTTATACAAGTAATAATTAACTATATTTGGACATACCATAAGGCAAATTTGTTCCTGATATAATGTGGCTTTCCCATAAGGCAGAGGATATTGCCTTCTAATAAATGGAAGGGTTTAAATCAAGTTAAACACTAAGTAAGCAAGTAGAACTCCATTTCAATGCTTCACATGCATGTGAATTACTTTGATTTATTCATCTACCGATATCTTCACACCTACTACAAATTGAACAGAAGCAATAAATTAAATGATGCTTCTTCTATTTTCCTAGTTTTCAGTTTCATAGAAATTTAAAAATTAAATGTATATTAATAACGCTTTATACCAGTGTACAATTTCAGTACTTTACGTACATTAACTAATTTAATCCTCAACATTATGTTAGTTGGGAGTTATTTCCTCCGAGTTTAAGTGACTCCAATCTGGGTCTTCTTATTTAAGTCTATGTAATGCCTTTTCATTTAACTCCTACCTAACTTACTTGAATACTTTGTGTGTTGATTGCAAGTTTTTACAACATGCATAAAAAAAAAATGATATCCAGATTCTTTTCTTGATTTGATGTTAAATCTTGAGTTAATTCCTCTGATAGAAACAAGAAAGGATCATATTAGTATTTGTCTAAAAAAAATTTGTGAGGCTTCTGTGAAATAAGAAGAAATATATATTTGGCTCTACCCCCAGTCCCTGACACAGAGCTCCTAAAACCCTTGTAAATTCCCGATGATGGAGGTGACAGGAACATCTTCACAGAGTTCCTAAATCCCTTAGGATTTCCTGGGTAATTGGAGAGCTTTTGTTCTAAAGAGGTGACTCTTGGTGGGCTCCTGGATAACTTCAGGATGAGGCCTTGTCACCAGAAAGAGTAACCATGATTAAAAGGTTGGTAAGTGAAATAAGCCAATCAGAGAAAGACAAGTAGCACAGGATCTCACTTATATATGGAATCTAATGACAAAATAAACTGACGATCACACAATCCAGAGACATAGAAGCATGGAACAGACTGATGAATCTTGGGGTGGGTGTGGGTGGGGAAGTGGGAAGAGATTAACCAAAGAACTTATATGCATAACCCATGGACAATAGTATGGTGAAGGCCTGGGGAGGGGGCAGGAGTGGGATCAATGGGGGGGACAAATGGGATATCTGTAATACTTTCAATAATGAAGATAAATTAAAAAACAAAACAAAAAAGTTGGAACTTTCAGCTCTACCTTGGAGTAGGGGTTAGGGCTGGAGATTGAGTGAATATCAATATGGCCATATGATGAAGCTCCATAAACATCTCTAACTATGGGGCTCACAGAGCTTCGAGGTTGGAGAACACATTGAATGTTCTGGGAGGCGAGCACACTCCAACTCCACAGAGACAGAAGCTCCTACACAGGGGACCCTTCCAGACCTCACCCTATGTACCTCTTCACCTGGCTATATGTATCCTTTATAATAAACTGGTAAGTGTAAGTAAATGTTTTGGAGCCATTAGAGCTAATTATCGAATCCAAGGAAGGGGTTGTGGGAACCCGATTTACAGCTGGTTAGTCAGAGTATGGGTGGCCCACAGTGGGGGCAGTCTTCAGGTCTGTGTTAACTCCAGGCAGTGCTGGAACTGCATGGTGTGGAAAACCCACACATTTAGTATCAGAAGTGTTATGAATAAGAATAAAGATTTTCCTATTAGCTTCCGTGAAGGTTGGAAAAATAAGATTATTTTCAATTATATGCCCTATAATTTCTAAGTCAGATAGTGAGGAAGAGAACAGAGACTAAAATGCTTGATCAAAAGATAAATAAGACTAATGTATAAAAATAAATTAAGAAAAACTTCTGCTTTATTCTTACCTTTTGTCCCAGGAATTCATTCCCAATATACTAAGAAGCAATCTGCAATAATAAAATGCTGACTGAGGCTTTTGAGGTGCTGGTTCATCTTGCTCCACAGCTTTCATGTTTAAGTCATTAAAGTGTTTCTCAACAAATTCTTTTTCCTCTGTATGTTGCTTAAGGATAGCATTAATAACATCATTTTCCTGTTTTTCAGAAATGCACACAGGTTGTGGAGCAGGAATATTAAGTGAAATTCCAGTTCTCTGTAAGCACTCAGGACTGGTTACACCTAAATACTGCAAAAGTTCATCAAGAACATCTTCATCATCTCTGATTGTATCCCAAGTTGGTACAGTTTCTCTAAATCTTTTAAACTGACAGGAAATCCCATCTTTTATTGTTACATCTTCTAGGCATTCGTTGGATCTAGGCAGCTCTTCTGGCTTCTCTTGGTGAGACAATGAAAGTATGAGAGATGCAGGTTCTGACAAGCCACTTACAGGAGGTGGTCCATATAGGATGGCAGAATCCCATGAATATTTTCCAGAAAGATCACGTACTATGATTCTGACATTTGAATTGGCTGATGCAAGACCAGCAGATAAACCTCCTCCAGGTATACTCTCTTCTGATCTGATCTGAATACAGGACACTAAGGTTGTATTGTTCAACACGAAGAACTGGATATTTGGACTCTCAAAGAGTTCAGGAGAAAGTTCAGTACTTTCACTGTAATGATTGTCATGATTTTCACACACCTGACTTGTTAACATAGCAGGACCACCACTCATTGGATAATGGCCCAAGTGATTTACCAGATGTGTAATAACAGTGCGAGCAGCTATAGAAATTAATCCTTGTTGCATCTGAGTTTTCACTAGAATAAAAAAAAATAAGTGAGTGGGAATACTGTTGCTTCCTAGGATGTCATATAGCAATGAGACACTAGACAACAAATAGGGACATTATCAAAATCACACTCAAATACTTCAGTAATTATTATTTCCAATTTAGATTATATTACAGAAATGATGGCAAATAACGAAACTGTTCTTTAGTGAAGTTTTGCTGTTAATTTTATAAAGAGCCCTTTTTGAAATTTTTGCTTATGGATTCTTAATTTAAAGCGAAGTCTTTAAATGTACATCATACCTTAAAAGAAGGATCAAAAGTATTAGAAATCACTTGAAATCACTTAGCACATAGATTAGAAAGCCAATGAAATCCAACTGATAAGTTTATCTCATGAGCAGATTCAGAACAGTTTGCAGCATGCCTTAAATTTCACTTAATTATGGCTTTTATCAATGATGTAAAAGTTTCAGAGAAAAGTGATCTTTCACTAAACTTTAAGAGTTGCGATCAATTTAAACTGAGTGTAGCCAGTATATGATAAGGAAGCTTTATTTTAAAGAAAAAAATATCTTATGGCCCTGCATATGTTTTTTCCCTCCTAAGGTATCCTTCAGCACATTGTGGTCTATTCTGAGCAGTTAGTTGTATGTAAGAAGCATTTTCCCCCCTTGCTTAAGCACATTAGAGAAAGCAAATAGATAAGGAGCATATCCATGTGAGTAACTTAAAAAAAAAATCATAGGAAACAGTAAAAAAGAAAAAAACTCAAACATTGCAATATGAGGCCTGAAAAGGCAGGGTGCCTAATGGCAGAACCTAAAGAAAGAAAAGAGAGGAAACAAAGAAGACAGAGAACACAAAAAGAGGGTGTAAAGGGAGGAAGAAAGAAGTAGAGATAGACAATAACTTGTCGAAGTCCACTAGTCCAAGAATGCTAGTGTCATTCTAAGGAGGGTTGATGTGGAAACCAATTTTGGAATGAGTGGTGTCAAGAAATGGGGACAATTTAGTGATGTTTATCTTGACACTTTTTACCTAGGAGATGGAAGGAGAGCTGCCTGTGGTAAATAAGTACTAATCATTTATGTAGGAAGAGGACTTTGGTTGGTTATGTGTGTGTTTACAGTATTCTGGTCTTAGTTATAGACATGATTCAGAATGATTGTGTCTCTGGATTTACAGAGTGATCAGAGTATTGTTTATATTCTGGAAGTGAATCATTTGGGAATACTATAGTCTAGCTGCCAGAATAAATATAGGTTGATCAAAGTATTATCTATATTCAATAAATTCCTTAATTTTAAGTGTACTTTGTGATGAATTTTGGTAACTGTATAGAACTGTGTAACCACAAACATAATCAATATATAGTAAAATTACTACATGAAAAAAGGATAAATCTACCCTAACTAGTTTGGCTCAGTGGACAGAGCATTGGCCGGCAGACCAAAGAGTCCCAGGTTCGATTCTGGTCAAGGGCACGTACCTTGGTTGCAGGCTCCTCCCTGGCCCGGGCCCTGGTTGGGGCATGTGCAGGAGGCAACCAATCAATGTGTTTCTCTTACATCGATGTTTCTCTCTGTCTTTCCCTCTCTCTAAAAGATCAATGGAAAAATATTCTCAGGTGAGGATTAAAAAAAAAAAAGGATACATCTTAGTTTATGTAAATTATATCTCAATAAAACCAATTTTAAAAGTTTAAAAGGAGACTAGCTTGTGCATTGCTGGTGATTACTTTATAAAAAAAGGCAAGAGAGCTCTGGCAGGTGTTGCCAAATGGTTAGAGTGTGAGCCCATGCACAGGAGGGTCGCAGGTTTGATTTAGGGTCAAGGGCATATACCTGGGTTGCAGGTTCAATCCTTGGCCCAGCTCAAGCGCGTGCAAGAGGCAACCAATTGATGTTTCTTTCCCTCTTTATCCCTTCCTTCCACTCTCTCTAAAAAATTAATGGAAAAAATGGGGTGAAGATTAATAACAATAAAAAAAAAAAGGCAAGAGAGAACAGTTACATTTTTAAGGCTATAGCCATAAAGATTCAGAACACCACTGGGTATAGGCAGAGTTAGCAACAAACCAGCCACTAATATTAATAACATCATCTCCATTATTCCACTCTATAAAAGAACAGTTTTCTTTGTTTGGGCTATGGTTGATTTTGAAATGTTGCCAAGCATCAAAATTTCAATCTTCTTCCATTATCAATCAAGTTTTACGTCTACATAGATGTACATATGAACATTTTTCAATTTACTTAAAAACTCAATTACACTGAGCTGTTCCAGCCATTATATTTATGGCTAGTTTCAAAAATCAGTTATTCAACACTAGAGAACAACACTAAATAATTAACCTTAATTCAGTTCTATATTTTCAAGACTATAAGCAAAGTAAAAAGATATGTCACTAGCTGATGAGAAACAGAAGGGTAGCTTGCTTTTTCTTCTCTAATTACAACTTAGAGTATAATAAATATTAACACTATAAGGGGCCTTATAGATACCCTAGCCAGTACTTATTTTGTATCTGAGGACAAATAGGTTCACAGAAGTTAAGCGATATGCCTGTTTTCTACAGAATATTTTACATTAGTACTAGTCTTTTGTTTCCCAGTGCAGTGTTATTTCCATCTTTACCATAACTCTGACTTACATATTTTTTTCTCTTTTGTTCAACTGCCTTTTCTTTTGGCAAATCACTGTGACATATGCAAACACCGAATTCCATTTTTTCTGTGTACAGTAACTTCAAAAAGCATTACTTAGCATAAATAATTAAATATATGGCCATTATCAACTGAAAACACTCACTTAAATAAGACTAAATTTATTTTAAACTAGAGCCTGGTGCACGGATTTGTGCACCAGTGGGTCCCTTGGCCTGGCCTGCAGGGATTGGGAAGAAACCAGCAGTCCAACATCCCCCAAGGAGTCCTGGATTGCAGAGGGCGCAGGTCAGGCCGAGGGACCCCACGGGTGCACGAATCTTTGCACCGGACTTCTAGTATGCATATAAGATCTTTGGTTACTCTCTTCCCGCCCTCCTCCCTTCCTCCTTCCCCCCTTTCCTCTGAGATTCATCAGTCTGTTCCATGTTTCCATGCCTGTGGTTTCTGCTCCTGTGTTGAGCGTCTTTCCCCTGATGGTCAGTGCGCATTATAGCTACTGGCCGGTCAGCTGGTAGCTTAGGCTTTTATATATATAGATGGTAATAAAACATAATTAAAGATTTAAAAATTTTTGATGTAGCAAAATACTTTTCTGTTCTTTATTTTCTTTTTTTATTTTGAATGATAAGCTTACAAAGGTGACATGTATTTTTTGTTTGTTTTCAACACAGAAGCAAATGATCTTTGTTTCTAGCTAAACCAGGGCAATGGGAACAACAGTTCTTTCTGATTCAAATTCTCTAGAGAGCATTCCTTTTGCAAGTTTACAGATGAGTAAACCTCACATGCTAATTAGGACCCATGGATCTTTGTTTTAAAAAATTTTTTTGTATATTTTATTGATTTTTTACAGAGAGGAAGGGAGAAGGATAGAGAGTTAGAAACATCCATGAGAGAGAAACATTGACCAGCTGCCTCCTGCACACTCCCCACAGGGGATGCGCCTGCAACCAAGGCACATGCCCTTGACCAGAATCGAACCTGGGACCCTTCAGTCCACAGGCCGACGCTCTATCCACTGAGCCAAACCGGCCAGGCCTAAACATTTTTTTTAAAAAATACGTTTTACTGATTTTAGAGAAACAAGAATGAAGAGAGAGAGGGGGGGAAGGAGAGAGAAACACTGATTAGCTGCCTCCTGCATGGCCTCCATTGGGGATAGAGCCTGCAACCTGGGCATGTGCCCTGACCAGGAATCGAACCTGGGACCTCTTGGTGGATGGGTTGACACTCAACCACTGAGCCACATCAGCCAGGTGTGACCTGTTTTATTTAAGCAGAGAATCATTTTTTGCAGAAGCAAGAGAGTATAATTTAATAGAAATAGATCACAGAAAATAGAGAATTCTTGATGTTGTCTCTGACTTGTTCTGTGATCATGGACAATTACATAAACTCTTTAAGACCCATTTTTCTCTAAGAATAACAGACTTTTTGTAAAAATAAACTAAAAACTCATAGACAAAGTTAAATATAAGAAAATAATATAAATCCTTCAATTTTGAGAGCATTCTAAATAACATAGGTTTTATGAGTTCCTTTTTAAAACCTGCTTATAAATAAACTGTAGGAATGAGCCAGCTCTTTCCCTAAATCATAAACACCTAAGTCCAGGTACCAGTCCATCTATAGATTCTCTTCCCAAAGGAAGTGTTAGTGGGCATGCAATATAAATGAGTTTATTCACAAATCTGTCATAATTATTAATATTATTCATATTAAAAATACATTTAGATTTCAGATATAGGCAAAAGCATTTTCTTTCTTAAGTAGTTTCTCTAAATTTAGAATATGTAAATACAAAATGATAACAATCTCTCAACATTTTAATTGGGAGGATAGATTTATTTAGATTTATTTTTGAGTTATAAACTATAGAACATATCTCTCTTCTATAAATATGCTTAGATATAAGAAAATGTATGAAATGCTCTAATTTACAAATTCAAAATGAAATTCTAAACTAACTGGCCTTGTGAGAATATGCAAAATGAAGATATCAATGCTGCTAAGGCTTTGTGTAACCAGCATTCATTTAAAAAGTCTATTCAGGGTTGTCTTTTCAGATTGTCAGATTAAACAAACCTAACAGCATTTGCAGCAAACCCATAATTACAGATTATTATGGCACACAAAAGCAACAAGACATAAAAAGCTGCTGCAATTCACTGCACTCTAATAGAACATGCAGAGGAAGTTAATTTTGGCAAATGCTTTAAATATTAGCTTTGCATAATATGTATAGGTGAAACTATAATTAGGACAGAATGAATTCTTTGGAGCCTCCTTTCACTCCGACTCTGCAAATGATGACTTTTTGCTAATAAGACTACTGCCATTTGACAAAAAGCCAACTTCACTACCTTTCTTTATTCTTTAGTAAATTTAATAATTACAGCTACTCCTGCCAATAGTTCTGAAATCAGACTTGTTCAATCCAATACTGAGCTTATTAGGGACACTTTATGTTTAGAAATCTTTGGCCAAAAAAGTACTTGAAGATGATGAAGCATGCCTGAGACAAGGGCACAATGATTAGTCATTTTCTCCACATTAAAAAACCCAAAATGCAGCATGTAGTCACCACAGATCACAGAATCACCTGCTGTTAGTTCACAGCTGTTCCTAAAAGCTTCTGCATTTATCTGGCCCTTAATACCTTTAAGAAAGTCCAAAGGGAATAACTGAATACATTTAGAATAGTATTTCACAGAGTATCTGGTACCAATATAAAGTTCATCTACTTAAATTTTTACCTTTGTGTCTTTAAAGTGACTGTTGTTAACAGTACAGTAAATTTGGTATGAAATACAATAAAACTTCCCTTTACATAGTAAACCATTTATTTCACTGTTTAAGAAATACACTATACTGCCCTTAATCAAACTTTCATCATTTTACACCTTTAAAAATGCAAAAACTGTGCCCACCAATAGACAAGTGGATAAAAACGGCTGAGATATCCTATATAATAAAAGGCTAATATGCAAATCAACCGAACAGCGGAACAACCGGTCGCTATGATGCGCACTGACCACCAGGGGGTAGACGCTCAACACAGGAGCTGCCTCTTGGTGGTCAGTGTGCTCCCACAGCCAGAAGCTAGGCTCACAGCTGGTGAGCAAAGCGGCGGTGGTGGGAGCCTCTCTTGCCTCGAAGGCAGCACTAAGCCGTCAGTCGGACATCCCCCGAGGGCTCCCGGACTGCAAGAGGGCGCAGGCTAGGCTGAGGGACCCCGCTCCAAGTGCAAGAATTTTGTGCACCAGGCCTCTAGTGTACACACACACACACATACACACACACACACACGGTCATAAAAAGGCATAAAAAGGAATGAAATCTTACAATTTCTGACAGAATAGATGGACCTAGAGAGTATTATGCTAAGTGAAATAAGTCAGAGAAACAAATACCATATATATATATATATATATATATAGTCAGACAGAGAAACAAATACCATGTGATTTCACTTATATGAGGACTCTAAAGAACAAAATAAAGAAAAAGAAACAGACTCACAGACAACAGAAAATAAATTTATAGTTACCAGAGTGGAGGGGGTTGGGGGACTGGGTGAAAAAGGTGAAGCGATTAGGAAGTACAAACTGGTAGTTATAAAATAGTTATGGGGATGTAAAATACAGCATAGGGAATATAGTCAATAATATAATAACTAAGAATGGTGCTAGGTGGGTACTTGAAATACTGGGGGGGGATCACTCTGTAAATTAAAATTTTCTAACCACCATGCTGTACACCTGAAACTAATCTATAATAATAAAAGGGTAATATGCTAATATTACCCTTTTATCCAGACATCCTTCCTGACAAAGCTGGGGCCGGAGGGAAGCCAGCCGGGTCCCAGGTGCCTGCGGGCGGCCCTGGGAAAGCCAGCCCGGGTTCCGGGTACCTGCTGGCAGCTGGAGGAGGGAAGCCTAGATCCCGGGTGCCAGAGGGAAGCTGGTGCTGGCAGCCGGGGGAAGGAAGGCCTATTCTTGCACGAATTTTCGTGCATCGGGCCTCTAGTATAAAATAATAGTGAATGTCAATTTTAATTGAAAAATACATTTTTAATGCAAAAGGCAACTAACTTTTTCATATAACTTTGTTTTTAGATAAAATAAACTCTCTACTTTACTATGCCAAATCTAGAAAAATGATTATAAGTTGAGATATTAATTATTGTCTAAATATTTTGTACTGTCCAGTATATCTCTATTATATCTGAACTATTTCATTTGTATATTATGTGGTAGACAAACTATTACCAACTTGTGGTCAACTCAAAATACTATCATGATCACATCTTAGATGTTTTAATCATTTATAACTACTCTGCCTTTAAAACTCAAACTCTTCCTTTAATTTTGTTTTGTAGAGTCCTTGGAGATGGATAAGACAGAAGTTGGTAGGATCCCAGACACTATCCTGCTGCAGCTCTACTTTAAAAAGTTTTACAAACAGGGCTTCCTTGTGAAATTTATTTGAAGAAGTTTCACTGCTTAAAAACTCACTTTAGAAACCACTGTCCTAACATACTGATTCCCTTAAGTCAGTAGTGGTTCTCAACCTTGGCTGCACATTAAAATCACCTGGGAATCTTTTTAAAATCCTGATTTCTGGGCCTCACCCTCCAGAAATTCTGTTTCTTTGTTACTAATGTTGTGGCACCACCCCATAACAAAGAAACAGAATTTCCGGAGGATGAGGCCCAGGAATCAGGATTTTAAAAAGATTCTCAGGTGATTCTATTGTGCAGCCAAGGTTGAGAACCACTGCCTTAACTGGTCTTCAACTTTGGCTGCATATTCATCACCTGCAAGGCTTTTAAAAATCCCAGTAATCCCAGGTCAATATATCAAAATCTTTATTGACAGGATGAAGGCATCAGTATCCTAATGTGAAGCCAAGGCTGAGAATCATTGTTCTAACTTCTTATTACCAACCATATCTACTTTCTGACTCACTGGATCACTCCATTTTCTTCCAATTTATTAGCCATTTCCTAGCATCAGGTCAATCCTTACCAAGCTTAGATTCCATGGTTACACCATATACCAATATTCTGAAAGTCATAGTTTGTGTTTCTGCCATATCCACCTTACTGAATGTTGATTGGTGCAAACAAAACTTTGTAGTTTTCGTTTTCTTTCAGGCCCTCAAAAACTTCTCTTAATCCCCTTAGTTTACTTCCATCTTCTTTTTTCTGGTCTCAGAAGAAGGGCTAATGATAGCACCTATACTCTCCAGCTCACATGTCAGGAACACTTCACTCTACTAATGCTGATCACCTTCCTACCTTCCTTCTCACCTTCTTCATCTTATAATTAATTTCAACTCCCTTAATCCTTAAAAAAATCCCTTAACCCCGAATCATCCTTTAGTTTACCTACTGTTTTATCACTTTTCTTTTTTAAAATAGTCAAGCTTCTTTAAAGAGTAGTTTTGACAGATGGCTCTACTGTACTTCCTTAACTCCTTTTGTTCCTCAACCCATAGACATCCGCTTCTGCCTCCTACTTCTCTGCTGAAACTAAAGCAGACATACTTGTCAGTGTTTTATACCTGACCTCTCTATCATTTAATACTGCTGGCCAATCTTTTAAAAATCTTTCTCTTTGTTTCTGAAAATTACTCTCTCCTGTTTTTCCTTCCTTTCCAACTTTTTCTCCTCAGAACACACACAAACGTAAATATATATTCCTCTCTGCTAAGATCTAGACCTGTATATACAACAAAATGTCCACTAGATATCTTCATGCAAATATCCAATGGGCACCCTGAATTAAACCATTCCCAACACTGCCCTCATTTCCCCTCCCAAGCCTCTGAACTCTCTCGTGTTCTTGGTCTAGTTTGGGGAAAATCTATCTAATTTAAGCCTTTTACAACTCTTGGTTGGACTATTGCAACAGCCTCATGATTTGTCTCTTTATTTCTGAGTTAACTTCCCTCAAATCAGTCAACATACTAGATCAGCAAACTTCTCTGTAAGAGGCCAAATTATTTTCTGCTTTAGGGCCACAAAATCTCTGTCGCAACTACTCGACACTACAGTTTTTGTACAAAAGCAGCCATAATGATACATAAATGAACAGCATGGAGATGTCCCAATAAAACCTTATCTATAGAAACAGGTGGCAGGTGTGGGCCATAATTTGCCAACTCCTGTAAAATATTGTCAAAGTGCTCTTAATACTAATTTTATCATGTATATCATCTCCTTAACCCCTTCAATAAACTGGATTCCTCTGAGCTACCTCTGTATCCTGAATGCACTTTTATTTTTATACTCATCAGGTTATTTGTTTACATCTTTGCCTTACCCTTATATCAAATAGTAAACTCTGAATGTAGAAGCAATGTGGCTTTAAAATACCTTACTGAATTCACTATGGACCAAGAACCGTGCAAAAGGTTTTATACATATTATTTTATTTAGTACTTAAAACGACCCTATGAGGGAATAAATATTATCCGCATTTTATAAATAAGAATACAGACATAGTCACTCAGCTATTTAATGAGAGTCAAAATTCAATACCATGCCTGTCAGACTCCAAAGCTAAATCTCTTATTCAATTATAGAAATCCTATGATATATAAAGTAAAATATCAAAAATAACTTATCAGAATAACTTAGCTAGAAGTATAAAGGGAATGTCATCACATGTAATCTTAGCAATTGTGTATATAAAGTTATTTCTTAAACTGAAAATAAAATTTGCAGTAATATACATGGTGAGGTAAACAACTACAAAGTAAAATATGTATTATCCATCCTCACTCATCATTTCTACCCAAGGTCTAAAATCATGCCTTGAGAGAACCCAAACAACAATACTGTCCTGAAGAAAATCCATTTTACCTTCTGTTACTGGTTGGAGTTTAGAAGATCGTTCTGAATCAGGAGAGTGCAGAGGTTCAGGTTCTTTCAGACTTTCCAAATGCAGAAAGGGATCATAATCTACAGATGCCAAGTCTGATAGGCTTATTGGAAAATACTTTGGATTGCTAAAACATTGAGCTCCATAAACACATCCATGTAATACCTGAAAATACCGGGGAGAAACATACAAGTTTTCCTTTTCAGTAAAAATAAATAAATTAAATTAAAAAGAGAAAAAAGTCCACTGGTAATAGAAGAGCTTGACAAAATTTTAAATAGTTTAAAACTTAGCTCTTTGATCACAGTAAAATTTAATACCTCGTAAGAAGAAGAAGTAAAATTTAACTAATGATGCTTATATTCAACAAAGATTTGACTTTTCAAAATCTGGCAATAATATAACAGTGTACTGTAGAAACTACTTTTTAATTATCAAGGTACTGTAAGACAAATTTATGTTCTTATAAAATACCTAGTCTAAATGAAAACACTAAGAAATGTTATTTCTTTAGATTTTATAAACCCTTGGTTACCAAATAAATAATAAAGCAAAGAAGTTTACCTTATAAATGCAATTGAGGACAGATTTTTCTATTTTATCATTTTCTGCTCCCGATGCATGGACTGGTTGGAGCAGTGTCTTTAGGGGTAAGGCCATGATCCAGTCCAAAAGGCACAGAAGTAAAGATACCACCAACTGTAACAACAAAAAAGATCATTATTATTGTCAACTCATAAAGTAAGAGTTTAATACTTAACAGAAATTCACCAATTAATTTTTTTGTTGTTAATCCTCACCAGGATATTTTCCCCCATTGATTTTTAGAGAGAATGGAGGGAGGGATGGGCGGGGGTGAGGGGGTGGGGGTGGGGGGGAGGGGGGAGTGCAGCACTGGGGAAGAGAGAGAGAGGGAGGGAGGGAGTAACATCGATGTGAAAGAGACACATTGATTAGTTGCCTCCCGCATGCGCCCTGACCAGGACTGGAGATTGAATCTGCAACCCAGGTACATGCCCTTGACTGGAGTCAAACCTGAGACCCTTCAGTGTGCAAACAGATGATCTAACCATTGAGCACCACCGGCCAGGGCTCACCAACTTATTTTTTGTTTTCCAAATTTATTTCAGAAACTATCGATCCTAAATTGCAACATTAATATTTATCTAAACCTAACTTTTAAGATGTTTTTATTGTGGGTTTCAGTGCAAGCACAATGAAAGATAATAAAATAATGAAAATAGGAATGTTAAATTTCTTTAATTAAAACACACACTGAGCTTAAAAAATAATAGGCTTCAATTAGCTATACTTATTTAACTGCTCAAGGAATGAAATACAAATGGAAAGTTTTAGTCCATAAATATTACAATCACTTCCACATTCCTCTTCTAATTTAACACCTCACTGAGTACTCTGCCAGAAAGACTAGACTATCTTAACCATATTCTGAAACTGTTATTAATATTTAAAATAAATGTTTTCACTAGATTCTTTTAAACTAATGGATGTTATAACCAAAACACCTTTATCAAAATGTGGAGTAAAATAGCAGTACCTCTGTGGCCCACTTTGTTGTACAAGGAATCACAATTAGAGCCTTAAAAGCATTAATCAAGTAGCAGTAAGAGATCTGTTGATTTTTAGACTGAAAGACTAATTTTCCAACTCAAGGAGTAACGCTGGTCTAAATCTCCCAACATATTCTCCAAAAAAACAATAAAGAACAAAAAGAACCAATAAGACATCTCAAAACCAGTAAGACATCACAAAACCGCAGTTTAACCAGAAAACAGAACATCCAAATTTCAAATTATGTGTAAGTAGAAAGTATACAGAAATCCCAGTAAGCTTTTTCCCATTCTCCTAGTGTAAGCTTTCATGAAGAGCAAGGGCAGTTTGGGGAAAACTGCAAGGAAGAAGGGAACTAGGTACAAACGTAAAACTACTCAGAAAGAAAAAGACCACCCTAAGTGTGAGTACTGTGGTACTGACCACCACCTGTTAATAACAAACATTATTGTAAAGCTAATGAAGAGCACTAAAAGAATTGCAATGCCAAAATATAATTCCTGATGGATTTAAAGGCCACAGAGAAAACAGAATTGCACTGTTAAACTTAATTAAGTGAGAACTAGAACTGTGGGCTGAAACTAGGAATACTATTAGGGAAGAATGTTGAAAGATAATGCCAGAAGTAAAAAGGAAAGAAAAATTGAGATGCATGACAGAGAAACATGAAAAAGAGGTAGGTGAGATAAAAGGTGACAAAAGCAGGGTTAGAATCCTGAATGCAATTTTTTCATTGACTATCACGTAGTGATAAAAGAACTATTACAATAGTCAGTGTAAGGAGACAGAAGAGAATCAACCAACCAAATAAAAGACATTAAACAACAAAAAATAAATAAAGAGAAAGAAAAAATAAGAGATCTCTACCAGAAGATTCAAGAAATAAAAGGGAAATTCAAACCCAGATTAGGAATATCGAACAACCAACAAGGAAGTATATTATCTGACTATAAGAAAGAAGATTCCTATGAGGAAGAACCTGGAATTCCAAAAGTGAAGTGAAAGCCACTCTAAAAGTATTGGGAATAAATAAATTACCAGTGGTAGGTGGAATACGTGTAGAATTATTTTAATCCACAGAGACCCAATCTGTCAAAATTCTAGCAAGAATATGTCAACAAATATGGAAAACAAAACAATGGCTTACAGACTGGAAACATTCAATATATATTCCTTTCAAGAAAGGAGATAGTAAGGAGGGTAGTAAGGTTAGTTATGTTTTATTGACTACAGTGAAGCCTCTGATTGCATTGATCAAGCTATGGGCTGCAATGCAAGAAATGGGCGTGCCTCAGCATTTGATTGTTCTGATACATAACCTACGTTGTGCACAGGCAGCCATGGAGAGACACTGGTTACCTATAGGCAAAGGTGTCCTAAAAGAGTGCATTTTATCTCTGTTTACTTTGCACGTCGAACATATATGAAAAACTGGGGTAGGTTCAGAGAAAGGACTGAAAATTGGTGGAAAATATCAATAACTTAAGATATGCAGGATAATACCATCTTACTGGCAGAAAGTAGCAATGATTTGAAACAACTTCTGATTAAAGTAAAAGAAGAAAGCGCTAAAGCATTTAAACATTAAGAAGACAAAAATCATGACTACAGATGAAATACACAACTTTAACAATGATAATGAAAACACTGAAATTGTTAAAGTTTCTGCTTACTTTGGTTCAGGAATCAATTCAAATGGAGACTGTAACCAAGAAATAAAGAAAAGTCTGGGACTTGAAAGGGAAGCAATGGAAGAATTAGAGAAGATCACTAAGAGCAAAGATGTGTCATTAGAGACCAGAGCTAAAATCATTTACACCCTCCTACACCCGATTACTATGTACAGATGTGAGAGTTGGACAGTGAAAGGGCAGTCCAAAAAATTGATTCATTTGGAATATGGTGTTGGAGGAGAGCTGCACAGATATGCTGGACTGCCAGAAAGACAAACCAGTGGGTTCTAGAGCAAATTAACCTGAAACATCACTGGAAGCAAAAACGACAAAACTGAAGCTGTCCTATTTCGGGCACATCATGACAAGTCAGGGTTCTTTGGAAAATACAGTAATGCTGGGAAAAACGGGAGGTGGCAGAAAAATAGGAAGGCCAAATATGAGATGGCTTGACTTTATAAAAGAAGCCATAGGAATGAGCCAACAGGAGCTGCACAGGGCTGCTGAGGACAGGACATTGAAGACATTACTCATTCATAGGGTTGCCAGAAGTCAGAGCCAAACTCAACAAACACGTATACACACTAGTGTGAGAATACCAAAAAAGTGTATTGGTAGAATACTGAGTAGAAAGAAAGAAGTTAAAAGTACACACAGGAAAGGTAATGTTCTTTTGGGAAAAGAATGTTAAGAGAGAGAGAAATGCTGTGGAAAATATGTAGTAAAAAGAAAATGCAAAAGAGAAAGTTAGGATCCTGCATGTCTTAATTTTTTTTTTTAAATTTTGGACCTATAGTTCTTCTCCTACTTAAAAGGCATCATCCAATTAAGACACTGTACTTTGTTAAACTTGCAGGAAAGAAAGCTCTTGAAGTAGGAATCTTGTAAACCATCCCAAGCGACCAAACTTGTCCTCAGATATGCAGAGGTAGTATTCATCTATACAAAACTACTACAAAACGAAAACATATGAATCTAAGCAAGTCAGCTGATGCACCCCACCCAATAATCCAATTATGAAACAAAAGAAAACTGTAACGCAACATCCTAATTTAAATATTTCCAAACAGGTATTTAGATATAGGGGACAAAGAAAACCCCATCTTCAATAAGAAACTGAAAAACTAAAAAGAAATAGATCAAGGGAAGAATTAACTCAAGTCAGAAAAAGAAAAGAAAAAAATAAAATCATATTAGATATGATGCCTCAATTATAAAATGCCTAAGGGAGAATAAATTTGAAAAATAAAAAAATTTAATAAGGGATATTGAAGAACAGTGGGAAAACGAGAATAAAAATGAGATAAAACAGGAAAAGTGTCAGAAAATGACTAAAATGGAAGAAAGTAAAAGAATATCCAATTTATATATAAGAAGTCCATAAAATCTACATATTGAAAAGGCCCACCAGATGCCAGGACAAACCAACCTCCAATAATGAACTCTTAAAATACATATCCTGCTAAAATTTCAAAAGTTAAGACTTCAAAAAAAAATATCCTTAAGGCCTCCAGGAAAAAAGATAAAATAATTTACAAAGGCAATAGAATGAAACTGGCATCAGACAGACTTCTCAAAAACAGCACATAGCCCAGGTGGATTCGGTCCCTGGTTGGGATGCATATGGGAGGCAACTGATCGATGTTTCTCTCTCACATTGATGTCTTCGCTGTCTCTCTTTCTCTCCCCCCTTTGCTGTCTCTCTAAACAATCAATAAACATATCCTCGGGTGAGAATACACACACACACACACACACACACACACACACACACACACTCTCACACACTCACATACCAAAACATTAAAAAATAAAATAAAATAAAACCTCAAGAAAAATAAGGACTCCATAGCTAACCAAGCTGTTTTTCAAGTATCAGAATTACAGAAAAAGTTTTAAATATGCAAGAGCTTGGGGACTTCTGTATTCATGAGTCCATCTTGAAGAATAAAGATGAACTTCATCCAACCAAGAAGTTGATTGAGGAAGTTCAGCAAAAAGATTAATGGCGAGTATTTGCTATATTTAATTATACTGGGGTGGGCAAAGGCAGGCTTACAGTTGCATTGTGACATTCTTTTGAGTTAATAAAGCTATAGTAATAATCATAATCTGCATGCCTTTTCATACCAACAACTGTAAACCTACTTTTGCCAACTCCTGGAGAGCTAAGATTAATATATAAAAGTGAAGATGAGCCCTAACCAGTTTGGCTCAGTGGATAGAGCTTTTGGCCTGCGGACTGAAGGGTCCCAGGTTCGATTCCAGTCAAGGGCATGTACCTTGGTTGCGGGCACATTCCCAGTAGGGGATGTGCAGGAGGCAGCTGATTGATGTTTCTGTCTCATCGATGTTTCTAACTCTCTATCCCTCTCCCTTCCTTTCTGTAAAAAATTAATAAAAAATATATTTAAAAAAAGTAAAAGTGAAGACGAATATGGAAGAGTCATTTGTTAAATGACATATGCTGCATATTATGTGTAGAAATAAAGTAACTAAAAATGGAGGTGAAGAGAGAGCTAGAGAAAAGTAAAATAAGATCATTTATCTTTATTGTTGAAAGTATTATAGATGTCCCACTTTCCCCCCCATTAATCCTGTTCAGTCCGCCCCCACCCCCTGCCCCAGGCTTTCACCACCTAATTGTCTGTGTCGATGGGCTATGCATATATACATACAAGGTCTTTGGTTGATACCTCATACCCATCCATCCTCCCCCGTCTTCCCTCTGAGATTCCACACTCTATTCCATGACAGTCGATTTTAAATACAAGATGAATTAATATTTACCATGTAAATATATATAACTTTGCAATTTTAAAATATAAAATATTTTACTATGTAAGAATATTAAATAGCAAAGAAAGTTTTTAATTACTCTCTTGTCCATTTCATAAGATGAAGCTTCTGTACTTGGCAAAAGATGGGTAATAGTGGCTATCAGGATCTATAGTCAAAAAAAAAAAAAAAGAAAAGAAAAGAAAGCACAAAATATATTAAACTAATGTTCATTCCAAAACATTAATGTTAATGTAAAAACAATATAAAATCTATTGCTGCAAGGTTATTCTGAAACATTAACACTGTTATTTCAAGGTAATTTTTAATATGTAATCTTTTCAAGTACATTAACTATCAATTATTTACAATCTTCATTTATAGAACCAACATTATATATGCTGTTAACTATGAATGGATTTCTCATAAACTCAACTCATGAATCAATATGTATAAACACACAGTAATATATGTTCTAATAGAAAATTAAAATATATATTGAAAAGCAAAAAGATTTATAAAAATCATCTGCAATTCTGTCACTGAAGATATCTATCCTACTCAACATATTAGGTATAGAAGGAATATACGTCAACATAAATAAAGGCCATAAATGACAAGCCCATAGTTAATATCATATTCAATGGTGAAAAGCTAAAAGCCTTTCATCTAAGGTCAGGAATACAAGGATGTCCACAATTGCCATTTCCATTCAACATGGTACTAGAAGTCCTACCACAGCAAGTGGGCAAATAAATAGCACCTAAATCTGAAAGAGAGAAGTACAATTATTTGTTTGCAGATGACATGATATTATATATAGGAAACCCTAAACACTGCACCAAAAAACTGTTACAACTATAAATGAATTCTGTAAACTTGCAGGATACAAAATCAAAATATAAAAAACTGTTGCATTTCTATACACAAGCAACAAACTATCATAAAGAGAAATTAAGAAAGATATCCCTATTTACAGTAGCATCAAAATCAATAAAATAGGAATACAGTTAATTAATGAGGTAAAAGACCTGCACACTGAAAACAATAAAACACTAATGAATGAAGAAAGACAGTACCATGTGAATCCACTTATATGTGGAATCTAATGAACAAAATAAACTAACAAACAAAGTGGACAGACTAATGGATACAGAGAACAGACTGACAGCTGTCAGAGGAGTGGGGGTTGGGGCCTGAGTGAGAAGGGTGAAGGGATTAAGAAAAAAAGAAAAGAAAGAAAGACTCATGGACACAGCAATTTTCACCATTTCATTTAAAGGAAGCACTCTACAGCTTCTCTTTGGCATATCTGAATTGTCAGCATCACTATTCTTACACTTTGCAGCCTTTATTAGTAAAATAAGGTTTACTGAAAACAGGAATTGGGATACCATGACAGATGATCCAATAACTGAGATGGCAACTAAATGACTAATGGTTGAGTAGCATGTACGGTGTGAATACGCTGGACAAATTGATGATTCATATCCCACTGGAGAACGACAATGTGAGATTTTATCATACTACTCAGAACAGTGTACTATTTAAAACTTAGTATAAATTGTTCATTTCTCAAATTTTCCATTTAATATTTTCAGATTATAATTGGCCATGAGTAATTAACATTGCAGAAAGCAAAACTGTAGATAAGGGAGGACTAATGTAAATGGAAAGATATTCCATGTTATAGATTGGGAAAATTAATATTGTTCAATTGTTCATACCACCCACAGCGATTTACTCATTCAATGAAATAAAAAATTCCAATGGCATTTTTCTCAGGAACAGAAAAAAACTATTTTAAAATTTGTATGGAACCACAAATAAAGAGCCAAAGCCATCTTGAGAAAGAAGAAAGCTGGAGGCATCACACTTCCTGATTTCAGGTTAATTATAAAGCTACTAGAGGCCTGATGCACGAAATTCGTGCACAGGAAGGGGGTCTTCCTCAGCCTGGCCTGAACCCTCTCCAATCTGGGATGTCCCTCTCACAATCCAGGAACTCTGGCTCCTAACTGCTCACCTGCCTGCCTACCTGATTGCCACTAACCGCCTCTGCCTGCCGGCCTGATTCCTCCCCTGCCGACCTGACCGCCTCATAACTGCTTACTCCCCTGCACCAGCCTGATTGCACCCCTAACTGCTTGCTCCCCCGCACCGGCCTGATCTCGCCCCTAACTGCTTGCTCCCCTGTGCCAGCATGTTCTCACCCCTAACTCCTTGCTCCCCTGCTGGCCTGATTGCCCCTAACCACCTCTGTCTCAGCCCCCACCTCTGTGGCTTTGTCCGGAAGGAAGTTGGATGTCCGGAAGATGTCTGGTCGACCTGGTCTAATTAGCATATTACCCTTTTATTAGTATAGATAGTAATAAGAATGATGGTAAGGCACACAGGCAAATAGAAAAGCAGATCAGAATAGAAAGCCTATACACAAACCCACACTTATATGGTCAACTCATTTTTAACAAGCACACCAAGAACACACATTGAGGAAAGGAAAGTCTCTTCAATAAATGGTGCTGGGAAAACTAAATAGCTATATACAAAAGAATAAAACTGCATCCATATCTTATACCACTCACAAAAATTAACTCTAAATGAATCAAAGACTTAAGTATAAGGCTTGAAGCCATGAAACTCCTCGAAGAAAACACAGGGAAAAAGATTCCTGACATTGGTCTTGGCATTGATTTATTGGATAAGACACCAAAAGCATAGGCAATAGAGCTAAAACAAACAGGTGGGACTACATCAAACTAAAGAGCTTTTACAAAGCAAAGGAAACAATAAAAATTAAAAGGATAACTGATGAAATGGGAGAAAATATTTGCAAACTATGCATTGAATGTAGGGTTAGTATCCAAAATATATAAGAAACTCATACAACTTAATAGCAAAAAACCAAATAATCCAATTTTAAAATGGGCAGAGGACCCAAATAAACATTTCCCAAAGAAGACATTGAAATCATTACTAGCTATAAGAAAAGTGATCAACATCACTAATCACCAGAGAAATGCGATTCAAAAGCACAATGAGAAAGCACCGCATATCTGTTAGGAGGGCTATTTTCAAAAAGACAAGAGGTGCCCTAGCCGGTTTGGCTCAGTGGATAGAGCATCAGTCTGTGGACTGAAGGGTCCCAGGTTCGATTCCTGTCAAGGGTACATGCCCGGGTTATGGGCTCGATCCCCAGTAGGGGGCAGGCAGGAGGTAGCCAGTCAATTATTCTCTCTCATCATCGATGTCTCTCTCTCTCTCTCTCTCTCCCTTCCTCTCTGAAAACAATAAAAATATATTTTTTAAAAAAAGACATGAGGTAACAGATGTTGTCAAGGATTTGGAGAAAACGGAAGCCTTATATACTATTGGTGGAAATATGAACTAGTACAGTCATTATGAAAAACAGTATGCAGTTCCTCAAAAAATTAAAAATAAAACTACAAGATAATCCAGCAATCCCACCTGATGGAAATGAAATCAGTATCACAAAGAGATACCTGCACACCCATGCAGCATTATTCCCCATAGTCCAGATATAGAAACAACATAAATGTACTTCAACTCATGAAGGCAGAATGACCAGAATGACCAGAATGACAGGTCGACCAGTTGCTATGATGCACACTGACCACCAAAGGGCAGATGCTCAACACAGGAACTGCCCACAAGTGGTCAGTGCGCTCTCACAGCCAACCTCCTGTGGCCCCTCCCCCTGGCCAGCTGGCGCCCCCATTGGCCCTGGGGGGCTGGCCGGCCAACCTTCTGCAGCCCCTCACTCCAGCCGGCCCGCCTCCTATATCCCCTCCCCCTGGCAGGTAAACTTCCTGTGGCCCCTCCCCCTGGCTGGCCAACCTCCCACAGCCCCTCACACCTGCTGGCCGGCCCCCTGATAGGCCTTGATCACCGGCCAGGCCGAGGGACCCCACCCATGCACGAATTTGTGCACCAGGCCTCTAGTATGTATGTATGTATTCAGCCATTAGAAAAAGAAGGAAATCCTGCCATTTGTGACAACATGGATGAACCAAGAGGGCATTATGCTAAGTGAAATAAGCCAGATAAAAAAGCCAAATACTGTATTGTATCACTTATATGTAGAATCTAAAAAAATATTTAAAAGCTGAAATAGAGAGTAAAATAGTGACTGCCAGGGGGTGAAGGAAGAGAAGGAAAATGGGGAAATACGGGTCAAAGGGTACAAACTTTCAGTTATAAGGTTAAGTTCTGAGGATCTAGTGTACAACATGGTAACTATAGTGAATTATATAGTAAGTAATGAATATCTGAAAGTTGCTAAGAGTATATTTAAGTATTCTCATCATAAAAAAAAGTTAACTGTGAAATAATGAATGTGTCAATTATCTTGATTTTGGTCATCATTCCACAATATCAGATCATGTTATGTTGTATACCTTAAAGATATATAATTATATTTGTCAATTATTCCTCAATAAATTTGGGGTGGTGTAGAAATCTATTCTCTTGTCTTTCTAAATGTTTATATATATATATACTAGAGGCCTGGTGCATGAAATTCGTGCATAGGGGGAGGGTCCCTCTGCCCAGCCTGCACCCTCTGGCAATCTGGGACCCCTTGGGGGATCTGGCCTAAACCGGCAGTCGGACATCCCTTTAGAAATCCAGGACCGCTAGCTCCTAACCACTGGCCTGCCTGCCTGCCTGATCGCCCCTAACCACTCTGCATGTCTGCCTCACTGCCCTTAACCACTCGTCTGCCTTCCTGATCACCCCTAAACCCTCTGTCTGTCTGCCTGATTGCCTCTAACTGCTCACCTGCCTGCCTGCCTGATCACTCCTAACCACTCTGCCTGCCTGATTGCCCCTAACCACACTGCCTGCCTACCTGAATGCCCCTAACCACTCGCCTGCCTGCCTGATTGCCCCTAACTACTCACCTGCCTGCCTGATCAGCCCTAACCACTCATCTGCCTGCCTGATTGCCCCTAACTGCCTCTGATTGCCCTAGCCGCTCACCTGCCTGCCTGATCGCCACTAACTACTTTGCCTGCCTGCCAGATCACCCCTAACTGCTCGCCTGTCTGCATGATCACCCCTAACTGCCTCTGCCGTGGCTTCATCGGGAAAGATGTCTGGAATTACGTTGGAAGGTCGTTAGGCTGTCTGGTCTAATTAGCATATTAC